TAAAATTACGGGGGATTTTTATATATATTGATAAATTATGTGAAGTCTAGAGAACTTAAGGGAAGTTCAGAGATCCTTCTGGTGGTCCCAATAACATAAGGAAAGCACATTAAACATCAGGAATGTCACTATTGGGGCAATCTTAAAATTACGATGAATTGGTATCCATAATAATTTTATGGTGTTTTCATAAGGTTCAGGGAAATATTGAGACCTTAATTAAAAATCTTTGAACGACATTTATCATTTCGTTTTAATTCCAGGTAGGTAAATTGCGGAAACTTAGAGAAGTTACAAACATTTCAGGAAATTAAAAACTACAAAGGATAGTCCTATGGGGTTGTATAGATGGTGACGTAGGACTACGTGGTCTTACATAATAAATGTTATTTGTTAACTGCAGCAAGAGCTTGTCTTTTGTGTAGGAATAGTAATTTGAGCGGCGTTCTCTCTGTTTATACTCTTTACTATGATTATGATTACCCTGAAAAGATCCTTTCGATATGAATTTTAGTTGGTACATGTTAAGAAATTTAACTCTTTTGGAAAATCTTGGTGATCCAGAAAAGGGCCGATGGTAGTACACACAGCAAAAAATAAATTTAATATTACATCCAAGAGGATGCGTTTCTATCAATGGCCACAAAAATAAACAAATGCAGTAAAAGCAGCTTAATGTCACTTCATGCACAGATTTTGTGCTTTTTGGCAAGTAATATTACACCATATTTTTGACACGATTGAGGTGCATCCACTGTGCTGTGATATCAAAATTAAATTTTTGCTGTGCAGACTTAAGCATAGAGGTAACTCTAAGACTAGAATGTCCCGAAATAACGTGCTGAACTTGTTGGCTCAGCTCTGGTACTCTCTTCGGTCCCAAGCTAATCGATTCACCCCTCGAAAATCCACTAACCCCTCATTTTATCTGTCAAACTTTCAAAGCGAATCAAAACAAACATTGTGCAGTAGTAGAATTTCGACTACAATGGGGTACGTTAATCGTTTGCTTGGGACCAATAGGCTAGTCAAGTAGTGAGCCAATTTAAAATCGTTAGTTTCGTATTGATTGTTGCTTAAAGCCTTTGAAAGATGATGATGACGTGTAGACAGCTAAATCAGCAAATCGGACCGGACAATTCCATATTCTTCTGATCAATGATTGGGCACTCGCAAGAGTCTTGGCCCGTCTGCTGAAGAATGCTTGACATTTACTACATGTTATTGATGTGTGAAAATATTTTTGATCGATTGGTGATAAAATTATTGAAATTGGTCCAGGGACAGCTGAGTTATTAACGTTCAAAATCTTTCATAATTTCGTTACATGGTCCATTTTCGGTTTTCACAAAGTGTACTCTCATATAGAAATCACAGACGTAGTCCTACGTCAAAAAACTCAAATGAAGATAAGACATTTCAGGAAAACTGCGGGAACATGATAATATTCCAGAGAACGTCAGTAAAGATCAGAAAACTTCAGGGACATTCTGAGAATATGAGGAAAATGCAAAACCATTTTAAAAGAAATTTCGTAAGCTTCAGTGCTGTTTCGAGAATGGAGGGAACGTCACGGAAAATCATTGCAAATCTATTAATTGAAAAAGGAAAATAGCAGCACATTTGAAGAAGTTCCCTGATTTTCAAGAACTTCAAAGATGTTTAAAAAATTAAAGATCATAGAAGTTCAGAGAATTAAGAAGAACGAGAATTTCCAGAACATTGGATAATCTTAGGGCAGTTCATACGACTGCCTTGGAGAGTTAAGAGCTGTTTTCGGGGATTTCAATAGGATTTTTTTGGGATGTTTATAGACTTCTTAGAGGAGTTCAGAACTTTTTTGTGAATGCCCATTGGATTTCAAGGGAGAGTTCATAGGATTTCTCGGGGATTTACATAGGACTTGTGGGGTACTTTCATAGAAATTCTCTTAGAGGTCCATAAGTCTCCCAAAGGACTTCTTGTGGACGTTCATAGGACTTCTCGGGCAAGTTCATATGGCTTTTTTGGGGATTCTATATTGCCTATCGAGGACGCCCAAGGAATTTGTCCAAACACGAAAAACAACTGGCTAAAAAATCTTAGGGCAGTTCCATTCATTTCAGGCAATTAAATAAATAAATTTAATGAAGTTTAGAAAATTTTATGGAAACAGTTAAGTTCTAAAGACTTCCAGTAAACTTGAAGGTAATCGTTAGCACTTCGAGGATGCGTAGAGAATTTTATAAAAGTTTACAACTCTTTAGGGCAGCTACGCTAATTTCAGAACTATTTCTCAGATAATCTTATGGCGAGCTGAATGCAGACAAGCTTTACTCATATCAAAGACAGTCGGAAGGAACTGAAATATATGTATCTGAAGAAATACATAAATTCCTATCAGTGTTGGCAATATCATCAATCAAGTGATATTTTTACCGCTTGCATACGTTTTCAATATCACGGATGATATTGGAACAAAATGTCATGCATAATATCTCTTTACTCTTCACCGATGGCAGACACGAAGCCACTGATGCCAGCAGTGACGGTAGTTTTGGGTCGCGTTCAGCTGTAAAGCTGGGTTTACACTAGGCAGGTCATTTGATCAACTCAGTTGAATTCAATTGGCTTGAAAAGTTGAGCCTGGTTCAACTTATTTCAATCCAAGTGTGTTGATCAAGTCAGTTGAATGGCATGGTTTACACGTTCAAGTTAGTTGAATTCAACTGACTTGATCAATTGACTTGCCCTGTCTAAACCCAGTTTAACGCAACAATCATGAAACTCAAACTCACCACAGTTTGGTTAGAATTGTAGATGGTGTTTTTTTTAGCTTGATATTCGTAGCTTGTATTGCGGTTTCTGTGAATATTTAGATTTTCTCAACGAAATGTGGAAGCTGCCACAATCTTCTGTGGCATTGAAACTCTTAAGGCTCAAGCGCAATGACAGCGGAAGCGGAACGGCAGTGGCAGCGGAAAAGCCCGATCTGAGTAAGCCTACTTGTCGGATTGAAAACTAGTTAGAACCAAATCGACTTCGGTTAGGCATCTTGATGTCATTTGTGACAACTGTCAAACTTTCCGTTTCCGTTCCGCTGCCGCCCATTATGCCGAGGGGGGCGACTCTATCTACGATGCAGGGAAAATTGTGTTTTGTTGTGCTTTGCTGCACACACGCTGAGTAGATAGAAAGAAGATTGATGACGATTCTAAAGATTTCCTGCAAAAATATTATGCGCGATGCAAGTAGATGCGATAAATGAAAGAAGGTTTTTTGAAGATTGATTCGTGAGTGTGAGATTTGTTGAGCATCTAGAATTGAGATTTAGATGTGTCGCCCCCCTCGCATTATGCGTTGGAAAAGTAAAAAAAGTGTTAATTTTTTTCTTTTAATGAAGAAAACCCTTGTCTACAAGCGAATGTACTAATGTTCTAAAACCTGTAGAGAGCTGTTTAATGATTAGTAAGTACGAATCTGAAATAAGTTCGTTGAACATTATTAACTTTTTTATCTATTTTGGACCACCCTAATGGATGACCAAGATAAGGGCGTTCACTTGTTTGGCTCAGAATTTCATTTATCAAGAAACTCCCCTCCATTTTCTTGATGACGCACAGCTTTAGTAGAATGATTCTACCACAGTTCGCTACACGTTAACTTGAAAGTACCGCACGCCTTTAAAACTAGAAATGGTTCAATCGTCACTTAGCATTGGGAATCGTGTGAAGCAAAAAGGGACACAGTGAAAGGATACGCTTAATCAAATCAAAACATAAGTAATAAAGTAACCAGAAACTTACTATTCTGATGTTTATAGTAGAGGTAAAACAATTATAATTGAACATTGTCGTTCGTGGGGTGTCTACGGTGTAAGTCGTTGGGACAGATCTTGATCCAACCAATCCAGCTGATATTTTTTACTCGAAGTTTACAGTAAGTGAATTTCGGACAAGAAGAATCCATTTGAGAACGTTGCGAAAAAACGAAAAAAAACCCCTTAAAAGTTTGGCCAGTTGATGGTACAACTTACCCATCGTGTTTTTAGAAATCCATAATTTCCTTTAGCATTCCTCCAAAGTGTTCGATATTGGTTCCGAAAATTCATGCGTTTAGCAAAGTTTTAGCCCTGGATGCAATGATACCATGAATATGCCGTATGAAATCCCCTTTAGCCACACCCCATTCCAATAGAAATGATACTGAACACAACCACCAAATGGGCAGCGAGCGATAAGCAGCGGTGAAGCAGGGCCCAGAATCATCTGCCGTCTTTCATGATGTTTGAGGAAAAATAAAAATCAGTCCATTCAGTTCCAGTCCTGATCCGTTTAGCCGGTAATCTATCTTAGAACAACGCAACCTAGTTAATGGCTTCCACAGGGTAAAACCCTACCGATTCTACGATTACAGAAAAAAAAAATTGGTTAACGCCGGACTAGATACGCTCCGGCAATGTCCATAAGCCCTGACAAGCTGCTACTTCCCTAACGTGGTGTGTACAGAAATAGGAGCTACAATGTTTGTTTTTTTTTTCGTAATAATATATCTAACTCTACTTAAACTGATACCAACAAAAAAATCGGAAAAACAAAAAAAAAATACTTCAAAAGCTAACTACTGAGCTTCATCTGACGATAACCGTATTAGGAAAAGTTCTACTTTAGAACGAAAGTTCCAGAAGATCAGTAAGTGGTGAAAGTAGTTATATAGTGAAGGTGGTGATTATGGTAGTGGTGGATTTGTTTTTTTTTTCTGGCAGAGCTTGTGGTGAATTTGGCTGGTGGTGGTATTTTGAAGTAGCAGTAGTAGTACACACTAAAATGAAAACAATCAACTAGGCAACTTGCAAACGTGAGTATGTTGGGTTTGGTTTTAGCAAATTGGTTCTGATCTAATAAATGCTTGCTTGGCATACAATTGCATTTGTTTTTTTTTTTGGTTTTTGTTATGCGCAATAGAAGAGTAAAGAAGAAGAGAATGGGCAAATGTTTGATATATTTGCTTTGTTTCTGTACCTCGACGGGATTTCGTTGCACTTGGCGGAAAGCGAGTTTTCTGTACATTGTATGCTTTTCCCGGCTGACGACGGTTTGCTATATCGGCGTGGCAGCTGTGCGGCCGCAATCGTGGTCTTTATGGCATTATTGACCCTGGATGCGCGCGGTGGGAGCTTGTTTATGGAGTGTGTTGTGGGTAAGCGAGGGGTGGTAGTTGTGGTGGTAGTGGAGGTGGTGGACGTGATGGTCGTGCTGGAGCTGGTGGAACTGGAGGTAGAGCTTGTCCGAGGTTCGAAGTCTTCGGTGGTCGTCGAGGGTAGGTCTTCGGTAGTGGTGGTTGCCTGTGAGGTACTCGGTATATCCGCCACCGTCGAGGTGGTCAGATTGAGTCTTTGCGTCGTTACGGTGCTGGGAGTATATCGTGCAGTAGATGGTTCTGTGCTGGTAGTAGTGGTCGTGGTGTATCGTTTAGTTGACCGATACAGTGGTTTGTAGGGGTTGACAGTCCGAACCGTGGTCGAGGAGGTTGTCGTGGTCGTAGCAGCGCTGGTTGTCTCATGATAGTCTGTCAACTCCTCCTCGGGAGTTTCCCCATCCTCTTCTTCTTCGTCCTCTTCGTCTTCTTCTTCGCGACTGGCACTGTCATCCTGTTGGTAGGACAACAGTTCCTTTTCGGTGGGAATGTTCATTTCGGGCATCTCTACTGTCGCACGGAATTTCTTCGTCGTAGACTCAGTCTTGCTGGAAGGTCCAAAAGAGTTCAGTTCAGTCGAGGTCATATGGTAGCTAGTATAGTACACGGGTTTGTCGGTAATTTCAACCACTTTGACGGGTTCGGAGTCCGCCGTAAGGGTTATGTTCTCCGAAGGGACTGTAGTCTTTTTTAACACTTCGACGCTATCGTCACTAAAACGCGACTTATAATGGGACGATTTGACCGGTGTGTCAACACTATTGTGGCCGGACCGATCGGTGGTACGAATTTGGTTCAAATATGAACTAGTCGAAGAAGCGATCGAAGGCAACGCGGTCGGAGTTAACCGTCGATCAGAGTATTCGGTGGATATCGAAAGCACGGTGCTTTCGGTGTTAGTAAAAGGTACGTGAGTATTATTACTACGATAGGTGGCATTCAGGGAGGTAGGCCGTAGCCGGGTGTACGTACGTCTCGAGGGGCCACGATTACGAAGACGATATCGAGGAGTGGTTACTTCCTCGGAAGTTTCGGACGATCGAGCCAGGTTGAAGACCGGCCGGTATCGTCCGCGGTAGACTTCGGTGGTTCTAGGTACCGAAGTCGAGGTACTGTCCTCGGTGCTGTAGGTAGAATAGGTAGTATAGACCGGTGTAGTAGTGGTTGTTAGTGGAGTTGTACTAGTGGTGGTGGGCTCAGTGGTAGTAGTTGTAGTATACGGAGTTGTGCTGGTAGTAGTCGTAGGTGGTTCAGTAGTTGTGGTAGAGGTCGTGCCTTTGGGTGTAGTACTAGTGAACGTCCTTCCGGTAGTGTACAGTTTGGGAGGACTAGTAATCAGGAAGTAACTTCTCAGAGGAGATTCCCGTGGAGTTTCTGTAGTGGTTCGGTAGATGTTAGCGATAACCCTTGAGGTGGAATAAGCGAATGCTTTATCGGACGAAGGGGTTTGCCGTTGCACTTCGAGACTTCTGAATGGGGACACTACCGGGCGGGAGGATGTGGTAGGCTCGAGGGTTTTGTTCAGTGATTCCCTGAATAAGAGACTCCGGGCGGTGGAACTTTGCACTACTGCAGCGAGTTGTTTACTGTCGTTGGCTGCATTTGGAGGGGGTGTGGTTCGTGGTGGGAATCGCGTTGGGGGTAGTGTCTTGGGCTTAAATTGGTCCAGATAGGTCAACTCTGATTTGGATGAAACCAATGAATCGACTGGTTCCTGTGCATCGAGCTCTTGAAGGGTGTTCGTTTGAGGGCTTGAATAGACGCTTTCCGGATAAGTGGGAACCCATTCGCTGGAGGAGGTTGGATCCGTGTCTTGGAAGCTGTCTTTGGTTGGTCGAGAGCTGGGTTTCAAAGAAGGGTTTTGATAGAACCGAGTGCGTGTTGGAGATAGGGTAGAGCTTGGAGATAGCCGTAGAACCTTGCTGGTGGAAGAAGTCGTAGGTTCAGGAGTGGTCGTTGTAACCGCATCGGAAATGGTAAACTGTGAATACTTGGGTTTCACAGAGGAGGTTTCTACCATCTCGACGGTTCCTTTCGATACCGCTGGACGACCACCGATTCCTGCGCTAAGCGTCAATCTGATGGACTTGTTGCTGTCGAACTGCTCGGGTCGAATTTCGTACCGTGGGGATTGAGTGGTCATGACAAGTTCTTCAGGCCTTGTGCTTCCAGTGGAGTAGCGAATTTGCTCCGGTCGCGTTTCGTAGCGTGGAGAAGACGGTGAGAATGGAAGGCGAGACGTGGTTGAACTGTGACCCAATGAGGTGCTTAGCGTCAAGCGAACCGTATTGTTCGATTCGAACTGCTCGGGTTTGACGACGTACCGTGGCGATTGGGTGGAGCTTGAATAGCTACCAAGACCGGAGCTCAGCGTGAAGTGAATCGGTTTGTCCTGGTCTGGATGTGAGGATGGTCTGACTTGAACGGGTGCTGTTGAGGAATAAGCATAAGCAGGTGCAGAAGTAGAGGACGTGGCGATAGTGGATTGTTGTGTAGCAGAAAGCGTTGTGCCGAGAGCTTTGAGGAATGTGTTTTGACCACGAGTTCGACCGGCGACGGGACTTAGATAACTGTCGTAGTCCGGAATGGCCGGAGCTTTAGACGTGGGGGTGATTCGATGGGGTTTGAAACTTTCCGGTTGTATATCGGAGTACACGTAGCTTTGGATTCGTTGACGCTGTGTTACCGGGCTCGGAGTGGTTGTGGTGGTTGTAGTGGTAGTTGTGGTTGTTGTGGTCGGTTTTGGTGTGGTTGTCGAGGTTGTGGTTGTGGAAGTTGTAGCTGGGGGTTTGTTGAAGGTATAGGAGAAGTAGTTTCGAGGCTGATCGTACGAGAAGGGGGAATCTCCGCGAATATCGGACGAACTGAAGCTAGAGGATGGCGGATTGACGGGGAGCAATTTTTGAGTGATGTACTTTTTGTCTGACGGATCATTGCTGCTATCGTCTTCTTGGCCGTCGCCGTATTCGTACCTTGTCTTACTGAGTGGATACTCTTCGTCGTCGTAGTAGCTGTCTTCGGGAATGGGATGGAATTTGATCTCGGGAGGGATTCGGAGGGATTGGCTATCGCTGGCGTCACTGTCGGAGGGATTGGGAGTGGGTTCGGTTGTGGTGGTCTTGGCGGTGGTGGTGGTTGTGCTCTTGGTAGGTCTGTAAATGTTTGATTTGGCTGTACTGGCCGATCGGGCCGATGTGTAGGAAAATGGGGAGAAGGACACTAGGATGGGACTTTCCGTGGTGGTAGAGGGACCCACGCGTGCTGCGAGTGTTAATATAATTGATTTTGGGGTTGATTTATGGCTTTTTTCATCCAATTGTGATGATCTGTTGGAATAGATAGCATTGGTTGGAATTTTAGAAATGATGACATTTGAAAATTCGTTTTTGGAGAACATACAATTAGGAGTTAGCAACAAGGCGACAGCTAGAGGGCGTGACCAGTCACGCGAGGTAGTTTTGGTAGCTATTTGCAAACTCTTCCGGATCTACCAAAGCTCCCTCGAGATCGTGACCTACTAGTAAGGTTAGGTACTCCAAATGGCCCCTGCAGTGTTAGATATTAAGGAAATTGAGCTATCAAAGTTGGGGATAGGAAACCACAGTATTCTTCATTAGTGGCATGCTTGTATGGAGACGGGGTTTTAGAAGTTGGTTTTAGACACAAATGGGCGTTTTGGGCGAGGAGAGGACCGTATGACACGTAGTACACTGAATTCCGATTTCTTTCTGAGTTGAGTGTGTGTTGGTCTTTCAAACATTTAAATGTGATTGATGTTCTGCTCTCTGTGGATGACAGCGGCGAAATGGGATGATGATGATAAAAAGCGAAAGCAGACTTTTACAGTCTTTGATACTTTTGAATTAATTATTTTACAAAAAATAGATCATAGAAGAAAGATCGAAGCGAACACAAACTGCTGAGAAGGAGGTTGAAAGATTTTTTCTTTGACAGAGGATGAAGCATCAACATTTACGGATCCACACACGCACACCCGAGCAGTGCGGTGGTGGGCTAGTGTAGGTAGTGTACAACAAACAACAATGACGCGAGAAGCACTACAGAGTACAGATTCCTTTCATCCGGCCTGAGATGTGTTTAGAAACTAAATGATCCCACTACAACTACTCCAGTTGACACAAGAAAGGCATGGGTTTAGGAACGAGCTGGAAGCAGCGATGATGATTTGTTTTTGTTTTGAGTTTGGCGTGGTGATTTTTTTTTTGACAGCATTGGAAAAACAAAATGGCCGAACGTTTCGCGGTGGAACGGAACTCGTTGCTGTGGCCTTTGGAGGTTGTACCTTGTGGTATAATACTGTGGCGGAGCGGGTGTTGTTGTTGTAGTGGTGAATCTGGTGGTTGTAGTGGTTCTGGTTGTGGTTGTTGATGGAAGTGAGAACGGTTCGGGTGATGTTACGAAGGCTGTCTGGTATTTTGGACTGTTAAAGGTACGAATCGTTGACGATACCAAAATTGGACGATCAGATATTGAGTTCAATTCGTTTCTGTTTTTGTGAACAGCCGCATGGAATTGGTATCAAAAATTTTGTTGTTGAAGGAAGGAAATAGCGTAAATATTTTGGTTAGATTTCGATTCGGTACAGACGATCATAAGGGAAGCAATATTGTATCGATAAGGTTAAGAACTAGGAATAGAAAAACTGAATGGAAATACCTGAGTTGCGTGTGTGTTTGCTTCTGATTATAACGATCATCTTCGAGCTGTTCGAGGGATAAAGAAGTTGGATTAGTATCGGAGGCCAGCGAGGGACTTGAAGTTGTCGATACTCACCTGTGAAACAAGGGCATCATCATAATCCTGATAGGTTGGACGCTGTTGGTAGGTAGTTCTTGGAGAAGTGACGTACGAAGACTGTTCTCGCTGAGAAGTTGGAGCGACGGTTGTGACCACGGTTGGCCGGTAGGTGGACGATACGACTGGCCTCTGTGGCTGCTGAGACGACTGCTGATTGTTCTGGTTATATTGTGGTTGATATTCTACAAAATCAAGGAAACCTCGTTAAACTCGCCAATTCTGGCATCTACCTAGCCGTCCTGAGTCGTCTACTCACCAACATCCCGGTACAGCTCTACATCATCGTCGTAGACAGCGTAGTAGGAATCGTAGCCGGATGGATCGTAGTTGCTGGTGTTGTAGTAGTTCTTGTTGCTCTGAGACAATACGCTCTTCTGCGGTTGCTCGGGTACGTATCTGCTCGGGGCCGGCGAGGACGTTTCAACTCTGTGGGAAACCAACAAAAACCGTCTCAGTATTTCAGCTCTACGACATAAGCCGTTCGACAAAACTGCATGGCAATTAGAGTACACATGTATTTACACCAGGTCGAAAGCAGACTCACAGTCAGCGAAGGCTGCTCACGTAAAACAAAAAAAAAACTCATCATTACACAGTTAGTGAGACCATATTTACAAACGTCCTTGTCCACCGGAAAGAAGAAGTAGGGGTCGTTCAAAAACACTCCCACACACAAACAAAAATGTACACAAAGGGTGCATCAAGAAAGGAAAACAATACTCGTACCTGTTCGGTAGCCGTTCATCGAGTTCCAATCGATTGTTACGGTTCTGGTTCTTGTTCGGTCGGGTGCTAATCGTAGGAAGAGGTTCTTGTTGCTGTTCGGGAGTCTCGGTAGTGCGCCAGCGTTGCTGGCCGCGGTTCGGTCGGACGGTGTACCGTTTGCGCGAAGTCGTATCACTGGTCGAAGTGACAGTCGGTGAAGTGGTGGTTCGCAATCGGGTCACCGGAGGAGCCGGCGTTGTCGTCGTTGTCGTCGTCGTTGTCGTTGTCGTGGAGGTCGACGTCGTTGTTCTAGGAGTCGCTGTAGTGGTTGTCTTGAACAGACTGCTCTTTGAGCTGAGTGATTTGGCAGTCGTTCGAAGCAGTTCCTTGGATGTAGTCTCGTCAATGAGGTTTGCATTGGGAATGGCGGTTGGCCGGACGCGCGTTCGTACTGCGTACGGTCTCGAGCTAGATTTGTTGAAATACCGTGGAATATCACTGAACGGCTTAATTCCCTGGAAAACATCTTCCGGGAACTTGATGATTGAAGGAATGTCACTCGTCGTCGGCGTATGCGTAGTCACCGTACTCGGCTTCCACGTCGTTGTCTCGTATCTATGATTGCTGTACATAACATGTCCGGACACACCACCGGCAGGTCTGGGAGTAGTCAAATTTCCCAACGGCCTTGGAGCCATAGTCTCCGTCATCGGAGTATACTTGGACTTGTTCACTGGATACCGATATTCGTAGTCATCGTCATCCTCGTCGTCATAGTACTCATCCTCATCATCCTCGGCTGGACGTCTACTGGGATAACTCGGCCTCTTACTGCCACTCAACGTATTCTTCACATACTTATGTCCTCGATCGTCCACAATCTCTTCGTCTTCATAATAATACTCCGTCTCGTCCTTAACCGGTCTCGCCGTTGACGATCCATAGTATGGCTTCTGGTACTGCTGCACCGGTGGAACCGGTCTCAAATTCGTCGTTCCATTCTTCACATAGTGCACACCAATTTCCTGCAAACCATCAGTAAACTTACCACTGCCGCCGACGTGCTGCATGTGCGTGTTCTTGATGCTCTCGAAGAACCGATTGTACTCCGTTTTGGGCGGGCTGACAGATTGTTGCTGGTAGTAGCGAGGAGTGGTCGCTATGATGATCGGTTGGAATCCATTGGTCGATTTGGTGGAAAAGTACCCCGATGGTTTCGACGTAGACGATTCATAGATCGAAAATGGTTTGTCGTTGAAGCTGGCGAACGTGACCAAGGTGGGAGAGTTCTTCGGCGGAGCCTTATCTTTGCTGAGGTAGATGTTTTGGGGGTAGTATTCGAGGGGGGAGATGGCAGATTTCGGGGTAGTGGCCGTGTACCGGACTTTGCTTGGAGTAATCGAGTTGCCAATGCTTTCGTATACCGGAGCTGGGGTGCTCGGGCCAGCGAGGATCTTTTGCTTGATCTGAGGGATCAGAGATTGGGAGATGCTGGATTGTTTCGGTATACCGATAAAGGTTTCCTTGATGGGACTGGAAGTAGGTTGGTTGTTGAAGAATCCTCCGACGGAGCTGAAGGCGATGTAGGGGCTTCGGTGAGTGGATTGAGAGATCTTCTGAGGTTGGGAGGATTGTGGGGATGTCTGCTGCGGTGGTGGTGGTGGAGGTGCATTGTTCTGGGATGCTATTTGCTTAGCATGGTTGTTGACCGAGATGGGTGTAGACGAGTAGGTGTTGCCAAAGTGGAAGAACGCAAAGTTGTCTGGGATGGTTTCGTCGTCAATATCTGGGATTGGAGTGGTGTATTTCTTGCTACTACCGCCGTGGTTGTTCACGAAAGCGGCAGCTGTAAATGCGGTTTGATACTGTTGTGGTCTTGGAGATTGGTTGGAGATCAGTAGTGGAATCAAACTGTCCTGAGGGGTTATTTTGGTAAGTGTTTTGTAACTTTGCAGACCGGCGGTCTTATGGCGGTTGACTTCTACTGGGCGAAGGTATTGCGATCCTTGTTTGGCTTTAACGTATGCTTCGAGGTAGTCGTTGTAGTTGTTGGTTATTTCTTTCTTGCTGTACTGTTGCGGTTGGTAGTAGCGCGCTCCGGATTTGATGTGGATGGCCGCTGGAGTTGGTCCAACAGTGTAGGAGAATGGATCGTAGCTACTCTGGGGGTAGGCATTCTGACGGGAGAGGGCAGTGTCCAACGATCTGTACTGCCAGTTTCCCAATGGCCTTAGCTGTCGAGCACTGCGTGCGCTCTCTGCACCGTCAGCTGCTTCCTCCAGGTCAGCTAGATCCGAAAGCTCTCCGGGGACGGAGGATTCTTCCGAATTGGAACGTTTGACTTGTCGGTTTTCGTTTGTGCTTTCTTTGGTCTCGACCGGATTGATTGTTCTGGCCTGATTGTTGTTGGCCGGTTCGTCTGAGGCAACGTCACGTTTCCTACGATCGTGTGCTTGGCTGTCCGTTGCGTTCGCATCGTGGTCTAGGTCTTGCAGTTTGTCTTCGTCACTGTGCGCAAGTATGAAATGGAAGTTTGAAGTTGAGCAATTTGAAAATACAGTACAGTAAATTTATGAGATTTGCACAAATCGAGATGTGAAGTCCAGTTAAAATAGTTAGTGTGCACGGGTCAGAGAGAGAGGGAGAGAGAGAGTGGGAGGGGGGCTAAGAAACCATTTCACTTACCTGAATGGTTGCGGCTGGGCACTGTACGCAAAGGAACCTACTTTAGCCTGGGTTGGAATGGCGTTGACACTGGGCTGCTGCAGGATTCCGTCCCGATCCCGCTGAACCTGGGTGACGGTGCTGGGCTGACCACGGTAGATACGCTGTGGACGGCTATACTCTTCCTCTTCAACCGGTGGGAGTGTATCGTGAGCTTCCTCGTAGAGCTGGGGGATGATAGGTAGTGTAGATTTTGCGTCCGATTGTGAACCGGAAAGGGAAACTTACCTTGGCAATATCTTCCTGTGGCGAGTTCTTGGGCTGTCCACGAGTGGTGATCACAGGGTTAATATTCGCTGGTGGTGGCGGTGGTGGAAGTGAATGGACCTGTTGAATTCGTGCTGGAGCTGATGGCTCGGGACCGGTTGGACCGGAAGGTCCGCTGGGTCCGGATGGCCCGGAAGGTGCCGATGGTGCTGAAGGTGCCGAAGGAGCACTCGAGAATCGAATCCGAGAAAGGACTTGTGGTACACGTGGAGTCACGGCAGATCGTGCCGGTGCGGAAGGAGCGCTTAGCGCCGGAGTGTCACAGCCTACATTTCGTGGCCAGTCGCAAGTTTGCAACTCGTGGCTGTACATCAGCCCACCGGTACAACTTTCCTGGAGAGCCCCACCAAACACGCATACATAGTACTGCGAGCAATCTGTGGGATGTGGATAGTAGCCGAACTCTTCCGGGCAGTTGAAGTTTACGGATGACGAGTGACTGGACCTGGGATTAGATCCCAGGGCACGTGGCTGAGCGGCTCCCGTGCGGAAGCTGCGTCTTGTTTGTGCAAGTACATTTTCTGAAATAAAGACAAAACAATCGCTGATTAGTCGCCATGTTCCTTCTGACAGTGGGTGATGATGTATGGCAACATATGCACTTAATTGGTCGACGCACGACAGCTTAAGTATTGCAGTGTCACAAACCAACTCCGTGGGCTAATGAACCGCTCACTTGTGCTGCTGAGTGCTACGTAAGGAAATCTATATCATTTCCCATCATCACCATAGCTCAAGTCCTCAACTTGGAAGCCAAGTGTGATGATGGGTCTTCTCTGCGGGACTTCTGACTTCTGCCAACTACCTAACGGATCATTTTTCACGCATCTCCTCTTAGTCCATCCGCAAAAACGACATCACAGTGACACTCACTGCGGGGGGGCTATACCACTTCGATCGGTGAGAAGATTGTGAATAAAGCTGAATGGAGCATCCAACGATGACTATCAGCTGACGACGGCGACGAGATAGCCTTCGTGATTGGCAACGTTAATTCATTAGAAACGTAGCTCGGGCTCGCACCACGCGGTGTGAGCCCAAGCAATGAGTTTTGAATTAACGAGACTTGCGTCGCCGGCTGATGTTTGCTCGCAAAGGGAGATTGCCATCTCTCTTTCGTACCGGGTCTTAGATCTTAGGTAGGCAAAAGCGTTGAATTAGTAATTAGAAAATTTGGAGTCATTAAAGTGACTGGTTTTAATGCGGCGAGCTTATCAACCGGGCAGAATTCATGTCAATGACGAGGGTACAACATCCGAAGTGCAGCGCAGAGCAATGTGCTTGACATTCAACATCTCCCGCAAGTTGATGGGTGTGAGACCAAATCGGGCCGTGCAATTAAAGTATTATTTTCGTCAGACCCACGCCCGCATTGGGTAATTCTAGAACATGACAAAAAAGAATGATCCCCATCGGCGGACCACGGTGGTAGTAGGAGGTGTCCTTATACGTCAAAACCGCTGCTGTTGATGGGTTGGGGATCATCGAAAGGTTATTGGCACAAAGAACGACGCTTGTGGAGGAGGAAGCAGCGCAAATCTTGTTATGTATTTTTGAGAAGCGTGCGAGTGCTGGCAGCGATCTGACTCACCAGCCACCATGTGGACCCTTTGTTACACGAACGAACAGACCAATGTCCGGCCAAGTTCGATTGGAATATGGAATTGCTTTATGGGTTTTAATTGCCGGCTGCTACATGAAGAACGGACACCCACATCGGTCGGTTGGTTATGTGATTAAAATGGAACGGGAGGAGATTAAGTTACGGATGTTGGTTGGAAATGAACGTCGCCGGCAGGTCGGGCGCCTTTCACTGTGCCACTACAATGAGTGTTGTTGTGATTTGATTCTTGTGACGCATTGTACCGGTGGATTAATTTCTCTCGATCAGAACTTGAGTGGAATTGATTTATTTGGACGTGTAATGTTTTGATGTGGCATTAAGTTGTTCCGTTTGGTCACGTAGGTGAAAATACATTATAGTAGGTAGTTAGCGGGATTGGACATTATACAATGAGACATATTCAAAGCGGTACATGCTTAGCTTTTGCCAATACAATGCAGAGCTTTGCAAGTTACCAGAAATATCGTCATATTCGATGATCCAGCATAGGATAAACCAATCAAATTACATAGTTGGTGATGCTTCAATATTTTTAGGGTCCCCTAATTTAAAGCAGAAAAATGGTTTTAACATGGTCAATGAGAACATGAGAAATGGTATCTTGAGCAAAGCTGCTAAACTAACGAAATTGATCGATAGAAAATCAAGTTTGCGCGCTAAAAAATATAGGAATTATCCATAAATTAGACAGATTTTTTCCATGACTAACTGTCCTGCCCGTGTTATTTTTTAGACAGAGGGGTGGAACGATGGCAAAGAGTCTATAATTAGCTTCTAATGAGAGTTATAATAGATGTTTCTGTATGCAAACGTATGTTTGCCGGAATCCTTCCTAAAATTTCTTTACAACTTTTTTGACAGTTAGATTCCTTTGAAATTCTGTTCAAAATTTTCATTGAACTCAACGCTCTCCTCAGAAATCCTAAGAATTCTCTTCTGATTGTTTTTTCTCTCTTCTTCTCCTCAATTTTGTTTTCATTATAACCAGAATAGGATTGCTTTGATATTTTTTATCGGAATTCCTATTGAAGTTATTTTTTAAATCTTCCTCCGTATTCCTTTGAAACTATCCGCAGAAAACACATGTTAAATTCTGCTTATAGGGGAATTTACGCATTCTCGTGCTTCTATTAGCATTTTCTCAGCGTCACGCATACATATGACGTGTTTGTTTGTTTACATTTATCTGCTGCTTGATTCTCTATCCATTCAAATCGACTGAATTGTCAAAAACTGTTTGAAAACGTTTTTACAACATTCCAATGCCGGCGCCGGTGGTGTAGTGGTAAGTGTGACTGCTTTCTAACACCCCAATGGGTCTGGGTTCAATCCCAGCCGAGGTCGGTGGGATTTTTCTGAGGCATAACAATCTCTGGTCACGTCTTCCTTCGGAAGGGAAGTAAAGCCGTTGGTCCCGGCCCATGTGTGTTTGAATGGGTGCGATATCCTACGCAGGTGTGGAAGCTGCCTTCCTGCACATTCGGATGCCGTCAATGGATGGCAATCGATGTCCGTCGGTGATTGGCACATAGATTGCGGAACAGAGACCGACGTTAAATAAAAAAAAGAAATTTTTTTTTTCAAACTTCTCATGTGAGAGCGAATGTTGTCGGCAGCCTCTTTTTCTTCGGCCACCTTTCCATTTGAACCTGGTGTTAACAAGCTGTTCTATTATCGGCAACTCGAAATCATCCGTATTTTGTAGAGCGTATATTCATGATAAGAAAATTCTGGCTCAGCAAGATTGCTCAGTCGTAAATTTTTTATCAGATTGAAACACAAAGACTACTCAAGTTACATTGCAAGTTTTATCGAGGTTTTAAAGCATTCTACAAGTCTAAACCACGGTCTACAAAATTCTCATAGAACCAAAATTGTTACTTGCGTAAGTAACCGGTAGAATACATTCTACGAAATGTTTTGATGGGAAAATTTTGGTTGCCGAAAACAGTCAATGGGTGCCGAAGTCGTCATTAACCCTAATGTTTTTTTGAATTTTCATTAGAATTCTCTTTAAATCCTCCTTAAAACTCACCTGCTATTCATTCTTCGCACGATTCTCTTAAAATCTCTTTTGAATCACCTAGGAATTCACTTCAGATTTTCTGTTGAACTGATTCCTTGTAACGTCCTGTTAGAACTCGTAGGCTCTGGGAATAGTTTTAGATGTAGCAAGTTTCGATTCGATTGTGGTGGTGTGAATTCTACTTCAACAGTTTCAGTGAGATTGACGCGCCCTTCCTAACATAAACCATCCTGTAGGAAGCTTAAGAAGTATTGCGAATTGCGTTATTCGATTGCGTTATTGGATCGTATCGTTGGAAGGAGATTCTTACATTCCCGTGGACTTCGCGTAAGTGTCTCTGCTTATGGGTCCACCCTTCCGATATTGTGAATTCAGATCGGTAGTTCAAATTTATCTTGCTATTAAGTGGAGCTGCATACAAGACAAGATCTTCGAAAGGATGGTGGCTACCTTACACTCAATACAGGGTGGCCACTGAACGGGGAAAACCGGGAATTTAATTTGAACCTAAAATACATTTTTTACATGTACTTAGGTATTTAAAATTTAATATGGGCCCATGCATTAATTATGTCACGCTAAATCGAGGAGAAATTAACCCCCCCCGCCTATCGTGACGTTTTTCCTAGAGCGTGACATAATATATGTATCAACCCTATATGATATTTTTTTTAATTATTAAAGAATATTTTAAGTCCGTTATCTCGAATATTTCACTTAGAATCTTGAATAATTCATCAAACTCGAAATTCTTAACTTTTCCTCAGTTCGGGATACCAAAACTTAAGAGTTAGATCTAAAAAATAGTAATGCCCTTGAGTTTTGATAAGTTTTCAAACCCAAGATGGTGATAATGTTTTCAAATTATTCGAGTGAGAATCTTAAGTAATATATAAGCCTTGAACACGTAATTCTTTGCCAACTTTTGCAATCTCCAAACGTTGTCAGAATCTTCTGGAACGCTACCCAGAATGTTTAGGAATTAATAATCGAAATCCACTGTGAAATCTCCTCTTTGAAAACCTTTTGGAAATCTCTTTAAATTCTTTTAAAATGTTTATGAATTATTTTAGAAATTTTCTTAAAGCTTCAGTTTGAATTTCAGTTATATTAAGCATTAGGTTATCTTGGAATTATTCTCGATATTCGCCTTAGGATCATTTTTTTTTATTAATTGAATGATTGATGAACATTTCACAGATTTTCTAGCCCCTAAGTGATCGTTAAGAGTAGTATCAGAATTGCCTTTGAACTCTCCTCCCGAATTCCTTTAGAATGCTACCTGAAAATAATTCAGAATTGTTTCAGGATTCTCTGGAATTCTGCTCATAATCTCTGAAAACAAAAATCTCGTCTGCATGCTTGGCATACACAGTTTTGGTCACGAACAGCTGTATGGCAGTATCGCTAACGGGGGGGCAGAGCGCTTCCATTGCAGCAATGGACGCAAAACGTGGTCAGCACTCACAAACTCGTCACTAAACGGTTGCTTTCCAAAGTCAATGACGCATCGACCGAAAGAACTGCTGATGAAGAACAATGAGGAAGACAACACAATGGTTGCTGCCGAGTAGACAGACGATCACGTGACACACATTGAGAGTGGTCTGCTTTTGTGTACAGCCGAGTGAACACTGATTTGAAAATTTTTAAAGTCTGAAATTTTGAAAAGTTTAGTGATTGTTAAAAAATGGGCTTGTCTCAACATCTTAAAAATGGTCTCTTGTGATTTAAAAAAAAATCTTTGTTCGGGATCTCAACAGTCCTATACGGAATAGGATTTCAGAAGAGTTCTATTTTTTTTTTCTAATTATAAGAATTTCTGAGTTTATTCTATCACTGTATAACATTCGGTCCAATTACCCACGCGT